AGGAATGGCTGTGGAGGGACAGAGACAAAGTAGTGAACAGAACCTGACCTTCATGTCATTTGAGAAAGGGAGAGTCTTTAGCTGGAGTCTCTGCAGTGAGCAATGTGTGTACACAGGCAAGTGAGCACGTGAATTCGTGTATGCATTTAGCTGTGATTTATTTCTGTAAGTTTGATTCCATTCTTTCTGTTTCTTTTCAAATGTGACTGAAGCTATTTAACTCTCTGATTAACTCACCTCCCTGTATGAGTTGTTTTCTGTGATATATTCCAGCACTGTACAACCTTTCTGGAAGCCGACACTCTGCTGCTGGGATGAATTCCTCCCTGATGCGTAGTGTGGCACATTTGTTCTGTTTACCGGTGTTGGAATGAAGTTCTGCATTTGCTGTAAATCAGATCTGGAGGAATATTTCAGTGTCATGTCAGGTTCTGCTTGTTTGGTAGTATCAGGAATTATATGAGGTGTTTTCAGCAGGAAAAGGTATCATGTCACATCTCCTTCTGCACAGTTGCAGTTTCAAGGACCCCTAGATTGAACTTGGTCCAGTGTACATCTCAGTAAAATCTGACTCTTGTTCTGTGCTGACACTTCAGGGGCTCCAAAACCCATCTGAGCTCATCAGTACTGTCAAAACATTTCTTTGTTCAAAGGCTTAAGAGTGATATGAGCAATGTCATTGATCCCTCCTTCCTTAAATATCTGCTTTATTTTCTAGTCTGTTTCCATAATAACTTAGGTACACACATTTCCTTGCTGGACAGGCTTAGTTTTCATATGATAACCATGCGAATATAACCAGAGAACAAAAATCCTTATTGAAGCATTTGGTGGTATCATGGGCACATAAAGGAAATAGATTCCTTACAGCATTATTGCCTCACCCAGCAATTCTCAGGAACTGTTTGTTTCACTAGCTAGAAAATACAGAAGCTTCTTGTAGGGTGGTAATGATTGATGTGACGACACAGCAAAACACCGCTGATAGGTCTGGTAGTGCAGATAGCACTTCTGTGCCCACATCTACTGTTAGCTGTGCCTTATTTTCTTATTGGAGAAGGAGTCTTTCTTTCTCCACTCTTAAAACGATACTTAGGCTGGCGGAGGTGGAAACCTTGTTTTCCTACCCGCTGGCTGTATTCTAACAACAGTACATCAGGAGGAGGGGAAAAAGCCCAGTGCACCTGATGGTGCAAGTTTCTAGCAGTAGCATGTGGTAGTGTTGGATGTGTGTACCAGTAGTTCTAGTTTTTGAATAGATGAGTAACTGGCTATCCCTGTCCCATGCCCCTCCGCCCTGACTACACGTAGTGTTAATGCTTAATGCGTGTCAGAAAGGGATGCTACATACAGCGCTTTCCAAGAAGGCAAGCAGTAGCTTATTGAGGGTGACTTAGGGACTGCCCCAGCCTGATAGGGGTGGTTTGGGAGTACAGTGCTTTATTTCAGAGGTGTGTTTTTCTTGTTTTGTTTTGCAGAAGGAACACTGATCCTACCTTTGGTTTGTTTGTTTGTTTGTTTGTATTTTCCCCTCCAGAAAGCCCATTGCTGACCCTGCTACTGTGATACCGCTGTTTTGCAAAGCTGGAGTCGACACGCATGTAGGGGCGGGGGTTGTAACTCTGGCAATTTGTCCTTCCCGATTAGATGTGACTGTTCTGCTAGCTTTCCCTTCTTTATTCTTTTCATTTAGTTCATTGTGGGAGTTGGCTTGGGGTTTTTTTCCTTTCAGTTTCTTGTTTTGATCCTGGAAGGTTAGCTGTGCAATTTGGTTTCTTCTGTGCCAACCAACTTTAGTGGCAGAGCTCTTAAAAAAATTAAAAGCTGTATCCCTCCATTCTGTCTTGCTTCTTCTCTGTACGCTACTGCTTCCATTTGAGCAAAGTTTACAGAATTGCTCCACCCATTTGGAAGGGAAGCTCTGAGATGGAGAATAACCTCATTTCCACCAGGTCCTTCAGACGGTCGAAGCGATAATTGAAACTGTAGTCCAATTTCTATTAAGATGGATGGGCTCTCTCTGAAATTTGGTTTGTGTCTGATTTCATCCTTTCTTTTGTTTTCTTTCCCAAAAAAGCCCACAGAAAGCAAACCCAAAGCCAAACCATTTTTAAGAGCTCTGAATAAAACTGCTTTGCCAATGGGGAATGGGTGGGGATGACTCTGATTTTCTCTTGTGCCCGGCAGCGAAAGGGTTAATGCCTGCTTTCCTCTTTGGTATCTGTTAGTTGCAGCCCATGTTGTGATCAGTCCATGTCCATGTACGTTTTGTTCCCAAATTTAATACCGGTTAATAACAAGCAATGAGTGACCCTTAACAATGACGGTTGTTTCCGATCTTCCTCAGGACACCCGACCTGCCTGCAGTTCACCACAAACATGACTGAGGCTGTTAAAACCTATCAGTGGCAGTGCATTGAGTGCAAATCCTGCAGCCTTTGTGGGACCTCTGAGAATGATGTGAGTTCATTTACCTTTTCATGCAAATAAGCATCACTGCAAGATACTGTCAACACCTGCCCTTGAGGAGCATGTGGCAGTGGTGTGCGTCATGCCTTTACTGCTGCTTCCATACATCTCCAAGGAGGAGCTACTCCTGAGAGTAGAGAAGGGCTTCTCCCTAGTGCCCCTGTTCTGCTGAAATCACTCCTGGTATCTTATAGGGCCACTTAGGATGGTAATACTTGTGGTTTGTATGCTTACTAAATAGAAGTTAGCTGGAGGCCATAAACATGTGTTGCAGGGAGCTGCAAGAGAGTAGTATTTTCAATATAGTTTTCCGGAGTAAATGTGATGGGTGGGTAGCAACCTGAGAGACAGCAGATATGTTTCTTCTGTCCCTAATTTTGCTTACTTTCTTGGCATGACTTTGTAATCTTAATTACAAGACTTGGGAAACATGAAAGCATTTGAACTGGGATGGTGAGGCTTCTCTCTAGACACCTAATCACCTATCCCAGTGATTTCCAAACTGTGTTCCAGAGCCTGCAGCTGGACAGAGTCCTCTCTGTGGGGTTTTCAGTTAAAATCGGATGCTAAGGGTCCTTGGCAGTCTGTGAGAAACTTGGAGAATTGACAATTGCTGGGCAATTTTGAAAGTGATTAGTTAACACTACATTCCCTATAGCAGAATAAATTTGAAGCCTGAGAGTTTGTTTTGCTTTAGCAATAAATAAGGAAATCTGAAATCAGAGAGCTGTTCTGTGTTAGGTATCCTGGGATACTTCAGAGCAGCCTTTTTCCCCCAAATATATGAAAGGCTGCAGACCTCACGGTGGTATCATGTCATTTCCATCTGTTTCACAGAGCATTTACTTCATTCAGTTTTGGAGAACTGGCTAAGTCCAGGCTTTTGATGAGAAAGGTTTTCCCCGAAGGGATGAGATCCAGCATGAGGTCACATTGGAGCCCAGTAAAGCCTATTCTCTTCTGTCAGTACAGCATATCCCTAGCTTAACAGCTTTTGCTCCTGCATCATGAAGCCACCTTGGAGAGGAAGTCCTCCACCCCCCAGAGAGATTTTCCAGTTAGAAACTGAACTGCCTTTGTGATGACAAGGGCTCTCTGCAGCCTCTCAGGAATATGGTGGTTCATTGCGGATGCACAGACATGATGCCTGTAGTCGTTTACATTCCCAATAGTCTCTTAGTCTCTGTGTTTCAGCTCTGTGTTCCAGCCCTGTGTTCCTGGCTGAGCACTGTTAGTTACTGTGTTTATGTTTTCATCTTGGCAAGAGACTAATTTACATCATTTTCTCTCTTCTCCCCTCCTATCCCTGTTTCCCTACTGTCTCCCCAACAACCCTGCCTCAGGACCAGCTGCTCTTCTGTGATGACTGTGACCGTGGCTATCACATGTATTGCTTGAATCCACCAGTCTTTGAGCCCCCAGAAGGTAACATATGTTGGAAGTCTGCTTTGAAAGTCCCTGTGGAGAAGGGAGGAATTTTGGAAAGGTGGCCTGGGCCATGCAGGATTAAGCAAGCTGTAGCAAAGCAGAGGCAGATGGCATTGGAAAGAAAATGAATAGACGTGGAGGTCTAGTGTGATCTGAGATGTCCCATTCAATCTTGCCTGGTCTCTACCTCCTCTTCCAGAACGTGGCTTTTTTGCAGGTTATGAGTACCTTTGGATGTCCCAGTTGGCATTGGACACCTCAATTTAGACAACTGAATTGAGCTTCTGTGAACTGTGACTTTGGACTTCCTAGGAGGTCAAAGTCCCAGAGAGAAAGCCCCATACAGGAGGGTCCTCTCTGGAATAGCTGAGAATCTGTTGTCAGGAGACTGGATTAAGAGGAATGACATTCCTTGTTCTCTGGCCTGTCTGTGCCTCAGAAGGGCAAGAGTTTTGCTGTCTGTATGGCATTCAGTATGTACTTACGTTCTCTGCAAGGGATTCAATGTGACTATACTACAACCAGTTGTAGTTTGTCCCTTGGTTTCGGAGCAGAGGAACTACTTCCTTGCCATTATTGATTCTCTGACTAAAATCTGCAGAGGGCAGTAGAATTGGAGAAGGAGACAAGCGAGTGTGAATGACTGCAGTTTACACGAGGGGTGAGACAAGAATAATTACAAATCAATCATGCATTCAGGAGCTAAATGTTTGTAACTCTATAATAAAGATGAAGTTAAATCAGGAGGGGAAAACTTTGAAATGCAACTAATAATTAGCTAAAGGTTTCTGTTTGACTGGGAAGTAGTGTATTGAAAGTATGAAAACATAAAATGTGTAGTGGTAATGCACACCGCAGCTGTGTTGTAACTTGTGTGGAAAGCCTACGCACCCAATAATAAGGGCAGCAGAGCCTGCTTCAGAAAACACAGGCAATTCCAGTGTAAGGAATATTTGATATCCAATTCAGGCTGATCTTGACATAAACTCTCAGTGCCTAGATTTGATGTCATTCCTATAAGAAGGATTTCTTCATTTACAGGGAGCTGGAGTTGTCATTTGTGCCGGGAGCTGCTCAGAGAGAGAGCATCAGCTTTTGGCTTCCAGGCCTGAGGAGCTCCATCAGTCAAGAAACACTTTGCTCCTGGTGTTGCCATACCAGCACAATATTCCTATCCAGAACACAAAGTCACAACCCACATCAGCACAAATGGACACTCAAATACAGGAAGAGGTATCTGTGGTATTCACTGTCACTAATGCCATACCTCCTGGGCTCTACTAAAAGAATCATGTACTTTCCCGATGCTCCGGATGAAATCTCTTCACTGCTATGCATGGTTGCCGCTTCCTGTTACAGGCTCACGTGCATTTTAGAAGGGGGAGGGTTGTTATATCCATGGAGGAGTCAATTTTGTGTGGCCTTGTGCTTTCTGTTTAGTCTTCTTTTTAAAGAAATAGTAAGATACCTCCCAAGGAATTACTGGTGAGTACTGTGGCTGGGAGCAGCACCAGTTGTTTCTCTTCACGAACTTGACTGGAAATCTCTTTACTCTGTATTCGTAGGGGTGCTTTGAGAGTTGCATTAGTTCAATACTTCCCAGGTCACGAACAACATATTGTCACCAAGAGAAGCCCTGATCAAAAATTTTTGCAGTGACACTTTTTCCCTTGGATCTAATGCTTTAATTTGGCATATCTTCATAAATCTGGTTTTAGTATCTCTGAAGGAAGAACAGTACTGGTATGTACACACACAAGTGCTTAGGAAAGCCCACTGTCTTTGGTATTCAGGCTGAATATACTGAAACCCTGTCCCACTGCAGTGCCAGCATACAGTACAGACTCTTCATTTAATTTTGTACAGAAAATTGTGAATGGTTATGTATGTAACTGACTTGCTGTTTAGCTCAGAAAACTGAGCAAAAGGAAAACAGCATCGTAAGTTGATCATAGAAAGTAAAACTGTCAGGTTTCTGAGCAAAGTAAGCTGCAAAAAGGAACAACCTTGGCTTGGGATCAAAGGAAGGACTTTCGTTAACTTTTTGAAATTTCTAAACTAAAATGTTCCACAACTTAAAGTTGCATTTTATTCCAGGAATTGCATAATCAAGACTTCCAACTTTTCCAGGCTTACTGTTTTTAGCAAAGTAATTATCAAGATTTAGATGAATTTCCAAATAATTTTGCCCCCAAATTCTCCACCAAACTGCATTTTTTGCAAATGTGATAATTTGTCAGAAAGCGTTTCCCAGCTCTAAAGAAGCGAATAATTTACTGAACCTAATAAGAAAAGAAAAAAATCAAAATTATTTTAACATTTTAATAGAAATAGTTGTACTTTATTTATGCAAACCTCTACATGTGAAATGAAGAAACTTTAAGCAAGAGCATCAGTTGAAAAAATATTAGTTCATTTGAGTTTCTTTGAATAATTTAAGACATCACTAGGAGGACAAGTGAGTACATGAAACAATTTCTACCAGATACATTTTAAGGTTAAAAACCTGCAATTCCCTGAACTGCCAAGTAGCCCAGAATGACCATTTTCTTGGGCATGATGTATATTAATTTCTATGCATAGATTTAAGTGGGTTTATAATATAAATTTATGAGAGTCCCAAGCAGCATGTGACTCAGGTTGCTTGTACAAGTAGGTAAGGACACTGAAGATTATATTTGGCATATCTATATTGGTTGAAACTTTTCCACAAAATTAAATGTTCCCAAACACTTGAAAGAACATTGTGAAAGAATATCAGTGAGCTAATTTTCCTTCCTTCTCCTGCTAATTACACATAGTTAGAATGAGCTATACTGACCTAATGCACTTTCCCTCATTATTTAGATAGTTTCTTCACCTTTTGCTAGAAGTAACTGTGTCAGCTGCTGGATTCTCTCATGTACCGTCACAGCCTCTTCTCAGGCTGCAGCAGGAGTATTTTAACCTGTTAGAAAAAAAAAGTTAGAAAGTATTTATCCTAATTGTATTGGACCACGTCTCCTGGAGCAGGTGCATTGGCAACCTAGGGAATTCATTCAGTACCTTAGGCTTTCCATGTGGTGGCCCCTCAGACGAGCCACGAGTACAAGGAAATTTGAGCATCAGCTGTGGGGAGGATAAGGTGGGAGCCCATGGATCTGTATTAGGTCTCTGGTACCTGTTGGGACAAAGCTCTAGAAAAAATGTAAAATGAAGTGTTTTCTTCCCAGTCTGCATCTACCCTGACCCTGGGAAGCACTTGGGGGCCACAACTCATCCACATGAGCATTTGCACCCATCTTTTGGTGTGGTTGAACCCTGCTGACCAGGCACTTTGGGACCATTTCAGGGTTTAGGCTCATACAAACTCCTGTTGCTGCTGTGACCAGGAGCACAAGTATGTATTCTTTAGAGAAACCACTGGGCTTTCTCACGGGTAGTGCACGGTTTGGCTAGAGGGACGGGAGACAAGAAGTGTGTGTGCTGGAGGAAAGTTTTATGGTGGTCCTGGTGGTGGGAACAGCAGAGATGGGTTAGTGTTTGGTCTGGTGCTCATCTACCAGGCCTGCCGGGCTTAGGGATCTTCATCATAAAAACAGCCACCACCTCCCAGTTTCCTGGTATTTGCATTGACCTTGGGAGAGGAGTGGGACAATGTCTGCTTTATCAAATGGAGAGGGAAATCCATATGGTTTAGGCCTGTGTGTTATGCAGGCAGTGGGTGGTTCATCATGTAAGTCTCAGGTAGCCCTGTTTCTGGGACTGGCTGGTGCAGAAAATCAGTGCTCTCCATCCCTGTGACAGACATTGCTAAATGAGCTGTGCTTGGCACACACACCTGCTTTCCTGTTTTGTGGTTTTGATCTGCAGTGCTGGCTGTTTTCTCCTCCCCCAAGCATTCTGCAATGAACAGTGTCTTTCATGTTTGGAAATATTCCTTTGTGGCCTTGCTGAAGTTTCATCACTAATGAGGTATGATGGCAGGAAAGACTGCTAGATCTTCAGTGGCAAAATATTGTTTGCCATTTGAGAGCAGTGTCACAGGATACTTACCTGCAGTGGTCAATCTGCATTTCATCTCTCCAGCTTTGTGCTGTGTTGCTGTGTAGCCAAGCAGCTCCAGGTAGCTTTGGCAGCAGATAAGATGCAAGCTCTCCCATGCTGAGAACTTCCTCCAGCTACAGCCTCCCTTCTTCGCTGTCCCGGTCTAAGATAAGGGGTTAGGATGAATCTCTCAGTGATGTTTTTGTCATGCATTCAGAGCCATATGTCTTGGAACACTTCAGAAATTGTAACTGATCCACCAAGTGAACAGTGCTGTACCTGCTTTACTAAGATGTGGAGAGGTTGTTGTACAGCCTTGGAGGTGAGGAAGAAGAGTTCAGAAACTGATAATTTACTCCCCGTCACCTGGTATCTTTTGGGGACAGCCTTCCTGCATGACTGCTGGGATGAACAACTTGGGTGGCATCATCCATGGTCAGGCAGATCTTGAGACCTCTCATAACAGTGATTTGTTCTGGGCAGTAAACAGCGTGAGGACTCTGGCTCTGTCTGCTTCTCTCTCTCTTGCTGTGGTGGGACGTGCAGGTTTCTTGGCAGCCTCTGAGGTGATCAAGCTCTGGCATATTTCTTTTGTGTAGGCAAGGCAAGCAGTATTTTAGCACAAATCAGAGCAACTACCATGGGAGATGGTAGATCCTGCATCCCTTGAAGTCTTCAAATCAAGAATGGGCGGCTTCCCAGAAGATGTATTTTAATTAAATGCAATCTTAGTTAATCACAGGAATGTCTGACTGAAAAAAGGCTTGTGTTATAGAGGAAGTCAGGCTGGATGATGTAATTGTTGTTCCTGTCGTTATTATAAAAACAGATGTTTACTGTGGGAGAGGATGTATTTAAATACAAGCTGTGTCTGCATAATGGCCTTAAAGTACATTAGTCAAACATATTCATGTGATCCTTCTAATTTTTAACCTGTTTTGAGTAACCTAAAAAGGGGTAGTTAAAGAAAATCACCCTTATAGATGCAGTTAATTGTGCATTACATTGTTCATGCCCATGATGGCAGCTACATTGGTGTTAGCTACTTCAGAGCTTGACGATTACAACTATATTGCGTGATACCATGGCTTGGTTCTGGCTCTCCCTCCATCACATTTGTGTGCTGTGTTGTTCAGTTTTCTGCCTCATGGTTGGAAAACTGGCTGGGGAGGGGAACTGCTGCAGGGGCAGCCTCAGAAACCGGGGCAGTATTTTCAGTATGGTAGTCAGGAGTAGATGTGGTGGGTGATAACCTGAGAGACGGCAGGTGCGATTCTTCTTGTCCCTGATTTTGCTTTATTGGCGTGACTTTGTAATCTTAATTACAACACTTGGGAAACACGAACATTTAAACTTGGATGGTGAGACTTCTCTCTAGACATCTAATCACCTATCCCAGTGATTTTCAGACTGTGATTCAGAGCCTGCAGCTGGCCAGTATCCTCTCTGCAAGGTTTTCAGTTAAATCTGATGCTAAAGGTGGAGAAATACAAACCGGGGTGCATCCAAGCCCTACCACTGAGGAGGTGAGCTCATGTTACCATCACAGAACCTCCCCTTTAGCTTGGAAAAGGTAATACCTTTAAGGAACATGAGGTGGGTTCCATTCTGCCTCCAAACTGTACTTCCATAAACATGTCTTTGTACTGAGTTTACAGCATTTCTATAAACATACCTTAGACCAGTTCTTGCGGTAGGAAAGCCACCGTTAAGTGTGTTCTTTTGAAGCAAGTGCTGCTCTAGATAACTTTGAAATCATTATTTCTCAGCTTTCTTTAAAAGGAGCTTAGAAAATTCTGCCCCAAAGGAAGACTTGCGTGCTGTGCAGTGTTATGGGGCTATTGCATGTTCTTTACACCTACAGCATGTGTTTTGATGGTGGTCATTTGGGAGGTGAGGAGTGGATGAGGTTAGAGAGGTATATTAATTAAGCTTGTCACTGCCAGAGGGATAATATGTGTTGTGCATAAGGAAATTTCAGGTAGAGCTGGGCATGATTTCTCTGTGTGGAATAGTTTAATTTTTAAAAATATGCTTTTGAGAGAACCACAATTATTCACTTATTCAAGTTTAATCTGGCAAATTACTTAATACAAAAAATTGGAGAATATCCGAAAAGTTGAAAATTATTGTTTCAGTCTTTCTAGAATGAATCACTTCAATATTTGAATTTCAAAGTTAATTTAATTTCAAAATAAATAAATAACTTTCATTTGACCTAAAACTTTTAATGTGGGGCTTAAAAGTATTTCAGGTCTATCTGAATTGAAATTTTCCAATTTTTCTCTTTTAGTGTCATATCCACCACTGTGTATCTGGTTAATTCAGTTCCACCATGTCAAGAAATGCACTAGAGAAAACTTTACAGTATCTACTTAAAAGAAAAAACAAAAAGAAAACTATGGAGGAATAGGGATCTTTCTTTAACATGATGAACTG